TTGGGTGGCCCTAACCATAGAGAGCCACCTCCCTGTCTCCCTCCTCTTCTGCCTCCTCTGGTCCTGGCCCATCAGGGACCACCTGGTCAGCCTCCCAGAGGTGGTACTGGGATGGGGCTAGGGGCGGAGGGTCCTCCCGCAGCCAGGGGTGCAGCAGGATCCCCTCGGCTGTGAGACGCTCCGCTGGCTCTCTTCGAAGGAGGCAGCGCACCAGGCAGCTGGCCCGGGCTGAGAGGCCCTCAGGCAGGGCAAAGGCCCCACGGCGGATCTTGCCAAAGAGCAGGGCAGGCGCCGTATCCTGGAAGGGGTAGTGGCCGGCAAGCATGGTGAACAGCGCCACGCCCAGGCTCCAGACATCTGCTGCCTTGCCGGAGTAGGAAGCCTGGGAGCTGAGGATCTCCGGCCCCACGTAGGCCGGGCAGGCGTGCTTGTCCCACAGGCTGTCATCTGGCCCGGTCAGCACAAAAGCATCCTCCAGGTTCTCCAGGGCCAGCTTCGTCCTGGGGCCGGGAGAGAAACACAGGGGTCAGATCCTACAGAGACCCCAGGAGGGCACCCGCTTCCCGGGTGCCTGCTGGCATTTGATAAATGCGAACCAGTCCCCGAGCACGGCATAACTCAGCCTGTTTTACAGATGAGAACACCTCAGCTCAGAGAGGGCAAGTTCAATTCCATTTGAATCAGCAGGGGCTGATTCTCTTAGGTGGACACAGAGTCCAGGCAGCCAACAAAGTAAGCGAGCTAGGAGGTGCGGCAATGCCAAGCCTGTGTTGCAGCACAAACCTGCCCAAAGGGGCGCCACTGACAACATGGGGTCCTGGGGTGATGCAAATGGGTACTGTGCTGGGCTCCTGCGGTAGTTACATAATCTGGTGTCAATCTGAGGGGATTAAGAGGGAAGGGTGGAGTCTAGTCTGTCAATGGGGTCATGGTCAATGAGGCCTCTGTGTAAGCACCACCTTCTCCTGAGAATTCGGGGAAGTCCTGTATTTTCTGCTTGGAGGTGAGAGATGCAACAGGATGTTCAAGTGCTTCAAAGTAACTCCTCCAAGATCTTACTAATTAAAAAGCCAAACCAAACCCATGGCCCCTAGTGGATAACGGCTCATGGTGACCCGCTGTGCGGCAGAACTGTGTTACCGACAGAACTGTGTTACAAGCAGGGTTTTCTTGACTGTAATCTTTACACGTGAGATCATTAGGCCTTTCTTCCCCAGGACCAGTGGGTGGGCTTGAACTGCCAACTGTGAGTCAGGGTCCCCAGAGACCTTATTTATTCATGACGAAGGGAAAATCCAGGACTGTTTGCAGTAGAGAAGCCTGGCAGGCAGATGCCAACCTTAACCAGCAGATGGGGGTTGGCGCCACCAGACATCACATACGTTGAGAGACGGGCACACCCCGCCTGAACCTAGTCTTGTTGGGAAACCGGAACCTCGACTGAATGGTGAGAGAGAGACCTGTCAAGTCCCAAAGAGCTGGCCAGGGCCCTCAAAGCGTCCAGGTCAGAAGTAAGGAAAGACGGAGGAGGCTAAAGAGGCGTGGAAACAAAACCAGTCTTCCTGCCCGGAAGTTGATGCTCATTTACAGCGACCCCATACCGGGTGTCTGAGGCTGTCTCTATTTAAGGGGCAACCTCAAATCCCTCCCAGAGTACCAGGTGAGTTTGAACTGTCGGCCTAGTGG